TCCACCACTCAGTTCAGCTGACAACGAAGCGCCACAGGGATTTCCGATACCACCCAAACTCCGCCGAAAGCGATGATCGCCTTGCTCGACTAGTCACCCTTTTTTCAACCGACCAATCTGCTAATCAGCCCATCTCTATTATTTTTTAATCTACCGACTTCAAAAAGGAGAAGGTACTCAATTCCACTGTATGTTCCTTTTTTGTATGTTACCTCACAACTTTTTTCTGGGTGAACCGATTTCGATGATTTTTTTTTATTTGAAGGCTGGTACTTCTCATGTGGTACTACTTAGTCGGGTCATAAGTTCTGTCAAAACCTTATTATTTAAATTTTTTGAATACTGTCTAGATCAACTTCACCAATTTTAAAAATACAGCGTTTGCAGTTGCCGAAAATAAAAGACATTCATTTTCAAATATGGAGTGGTCGAAAAAAGAAGATAGAGAAGCGGTTATCGGGTTGCACCGCTGTGGTTGCACCAAAAGAGATTTTCAATATTCTACAAAAATTGAAAATAACTCTACGATTTGTTTATCGCACTATCAAACGATTCACTGAAGATTTAAGCTACGAAAATCGTAAGAGTACCAGCCTACCCCGTACAGTTACGACACTTGCGATCATCAAAGCAGTGAAGGCTCGAATCCAACGAAATCCTGTCCGTAAACAAAAAATCTTAGCTCTTTAGATGGGCCTAAGCAGAACCTTATCAAATATAACAAAGCTTATCGTAAGACGACCAGACATTTTTTGAACGAGCGTTTGAAAAAAATTTGGCTTGATAGATCCTGCGCTTTGGCGGTGCGTGGGAAAAAATGCCGCGAAATTTTGTTTTCGGATGAAAAAAATTTTAACATCGAAGAAAGTTGTAATAAACAAAATGAGAAGGTGTATGCCCACAGCAGTGAAGAAGCCAGCACGCGTATTCCGAGGGTTCCACGAGGACATTATCCTTCATCACTCATGGTTTGGCCTGGAGACTCATATTCAGGCTTAACTGAAGTGTTTATCTGTGAAAAAGGTATAAAAACCAATGCCGAGGTATACCAAAATACCGTCCTAACGAACATAGTGGAACCTCTTTCTCAAACAATGTTCAAAAACAGACATTGGATATTCCAACAGGACTCTGCACCAGCTCATAGGGTACGAAGCACGCAAACTGGTTGACCGCCCGTGGAATTCACTTTATCGGACATGAAGACTGGCCCTCTTCTAGTCCAGATTTAAGCACACTGGATTACAAGATATGGCAACGTTTGGAGGAGAAAGTCTGCGCTAAACCTCCTCAGAATTTGGAATCTTTCCGGGCATCTTTGGCTAAAGCAACGGCAGCAATAGATATGAATGTGGTGCGTGCTGCGATTGATGACTGGCCACATCGATTAAGGGCATGTATTCAAAATAGGGGAGGGCATTTTGAATAATGTAAATAAAATTGTATTCTAAATTAAATTACCTTTCATTTCATATATAATTTCTATATAATTATCAAAAAGTGTATCATTAATTTTATAAAAAGTTTTTGACAGAACTTATGACCTGACACGAACACGAACGTATATAAATTTTTTATCAAGTTCTGACCAACAGTTTTTTGTTATTCATTATATTCATTATTGTAAAAAATCTTTAATATTAAATTATATTTTTACTGAAACGTTTTGTGATATTAACTACGTTAAATGCTGTAAGTTATAATATACTTAAAATAATTGTAATTCATCATGATTATTATAATCCTTTGTCCAATGATGTTAAAGAATAATTAAATGTCCAAAGGTGTAAAATATGAAATGTTTTCTTTAATTTTCAATATGAAAAAGTTACCCTCACATTAGGATTTTCTCCCGTATCGTCAAGAGTAGTTTACACACATAAATTTCACATAGAAAAACATGCAGACCCGGATCAATTATTTGTAAACCAAATACTTGTTCTCTGCGGCACTCAGTGCCACAACGTTCATTGTTGCAAATGTCCATTAGTCACTTACCACCAGGTAGGGTAGTAGTAGCCACTTAGCATCAGGATTTTTTTAGGGATGTTACCCCCTACTTGGTTTTTAGCCTGTATCGCTGAGGCAGTTTACAAGCATAAAATACACAAGGACAAACATCCAGACCCAGAACATTTATTTGTATACCATATAAATACTGGTTTCGTATTACTTTCATTTGTCACTTCAATTTTATGAAGAAAAAAAAGATCATCTAATTTAACAGTAAGTAGAGTAAAATGAAACGGAAATTTATATATTATTAATTCAATATATTATACAGTGATATATCTTAACACTAAATATAAAAATATTAAATATTCGTAGCTCGTTCCGGATCGTGTCGCCCAGTCTCAATTTTACAATTCGTTGATTATGTGTGCTCAAGGTGTGAGAAGCGATATAGATTACGTTTAAACAAAATATTCATATCATTCTAAGTGGAACTGAAATTGTAAAATCTAGAACACGACATAATCAAGGTCGCTTCCATTCAGCTATCTCTAAGTAGGACGTCCAAAGTGAGCAACATAAGAACTGATTAATGTATCTCAATCTTCACGATTTTTAATTTAAAACATGTACTGCTATCATAAAAAAAAAAACTGAATTTATTTAATATAATATCACACTAACATTCTTATGTTTAAGACAATATCTCATGTGCACTCCTCTGAGCTTCCATCGCTACTGAAACTTAATAATATTTCTAATAATTAATTATTTTAACATTACATTCTTTATATATTTTTATTTGGTGTATATGGAATTGTAAACTAGATTCAAGAGTGTTTGTAACAATCATTATAAAATGAAAGAAGTTCACTTCGTTCCATTACTTAAAATGCAACATTAATGCAAAGGATTTATACCATACAATGTTCTAGATTTGTAATCGGTTTTGCTTTCATTCAAATTTTGAAATATTTAGTCTTAAATAATATGATTAATCCAAATATTTATCACATAGAGGAAGATAATTTTATGACTACATCTAGATAGTTTTTTAGGAAATAAAATTTAAAAGAAAAATATTAAAGCAATTTTTTTCTTTGAGTGTTCCTATATATTAAGCATGCAACATTTTATAATCTAAAATACTAATATGTAATATGCGTGGCAAGAGTTAAAAATAATAATTGACACAACTATTATACAACGTTAAGTAGATTCAATGCATAAAGCCTCGATGCAATTAAATTACAATACATTTGACAATTTATGTTGCGTACTATGTTTTGACTACGAAACATTGGGTGATTTGTTATGTTTAATTAAAAAAAAAAAAACTTACTGAAGCTGAACATAACTGCAACAAGTATCTCTACATGTAACAAATACATAATCATGCCTTACATCTAAACAGCCAACACTAATGCCAAAATACGCTGCAACTTATTCACATAATTATGACACAATATTTTCAGTGCATTCTCAGTTTTAATACAAAAGTGCAAATAATTTTTTTTTAAATTATCAAGTATCGTAGTACAAACTTATTGAACTAATTAAAATATTTAATTACATGATGTGCTTTACTTTATAAATAATATCAGAGAGATCATACCTACTCTCATACAAAAAATGCGCAATAAATAAGAGAGAATGTAATACATTTATATGTATGTATATTTGGTTGGTAATACTAAATGTGTAATATCAATGAAAATATCTTTATTGCAAATGTTACAATAAGTTTACTAGACTGAATTGAATTTACATAAATAATGTACATTTTTTTAATTTTATACTTTCATTTAATTTGAAAAATAAAATTTGAAATAAACAGAAAAAAAATTAAATATAACTTTATTGTAACACATATTCAATATTTATGTTTTGGCTTTTTTATAACTTTCTATTATGTCAAATTTAAGTCTCATTTCAATCGTGTTATATTTTGATCCAAGCATAAGTACAAACATTGTAACCCTTCAAAGCACAAAAAGGCAGTACAATTTAACAAAATCTCATTTATTGAAAAATATCGAATAGCATTTAATTTTTAACATTAAAATATCGACTTTAGTAGCTTTCGCTTCATATAGATAGAGAATACAAAGTTATAAGTAAATAATACACTATTATTATAAGTAAAAATATATACAGACAATTATAAAAAATAGATACAGTATACCTTTACTATTACAAAACTATACATTTGTGATATGAATATTAATCGATTAAATAACCGGTAGGTACAATGGTAAAATTAATTATTTTTTAAAGGAATACGACAGAAAAAAATGTAAATTATTACTTACTTTAGCAAGTATAATAATTTATCTGTCAGTGTAGCTGAATACTTAAGTGGCTTAGAAAAAGGAATAATGTTCTGAATTTCTGGCTCAAACCTTCCACCATCGGTCAACCATATACTCGGCCAGTCTCGAATTCTACTTTATTGACTACCACGTATTCGGACCAAATGCTTTACTTCCTTGTTTATGGTGCACACATCGAAGAATTGGTATATTTTACCAAGATCTGTCTTTTCAACCGATTAAAATGTGAGTGTCTTCAAGGCAAGATGAAATATAGCCTTTATTAACCTAATTCATCAGGGCGTTTTACCATATTCCGCTGCATCACCACTTACCATCAGGTGGGCTTATTATAGCCAAGCACTTACTAAGAATGATTAAAGAAGTTACACCGTACGAGGTACGTACTCGTGATTAAATTAATAATTATAACTTTATACAAAAAGTAAAAGTCGACTTCAAACAACTAAAAAGCTTTAAGAACTGTGTCCCACAATCTATATTGGACCATCGTAACTGATTACATTTGTTTGGTTTTTTACAAATAATTAACTTTTTTCATCAGCATGGGGCAGCATGTAAGTTGTTTTTTTATCTTTTTGAGTACTTAAATTATGTAAGGAACGTATATTATTAGAGTATTAGAACATGCATCAGCGTGCTAAATTCCTCGATATTTAACTCATCAAAATTTCCCTAAATTTATTGAATAAGAAGATGTGTCGTAACATACGATCAGTCTATAGGCGGCGGCTGAGCTGGAATACTCGAGGGTGGCGCCGTTAAGTAGCCCGCTGAATGAGGAGCTGTGGACAAAGTTATAGGTTAATACGAAATTTACTACAAATAATATACAACATAATAAGCTAATGTATGTATACAAAATACTGCGAAACATCTTATCGTCCGATACTTAAAACTTGACCGAAACAAAAGTACAACACCAGTGCATGTTGCCAATAAAGACTTGGGGAACCAAGACTTCGTCCTTCACTGTTGACCCAATGAGAAACAATAGAGCGTTGGTATCTCAATCACTCTTGTCGTTGTCACTATACAAATCTGTAAGGTGAAGTATAATGGACCGGCCATAGTTCTTAGATCTACCTATATACAGATGGTAATTCAAAGTTCTGTATAAGACACTAATGGAGTTGGAGTTGTGGTGGGCTGTAATGATGATGATGATGATGATGATGATGATGATGTCGTTGTTGTAAAATATTGGTTTATAACTTGTTATACTTTCAATTCAAGATAAACACATCAGCACGGTATAGGGATATTTTAACAACACCATGAATTCCAAAGAGTATGTCAATATTTTCTTAAGACATGTATATGTATATCCAAGAAAACTTTATTTAATAATCTGCCATTTTTTATATGATTTTAAATGAGATATCAGATTTGTATGCAGAGATTAAAACACGCAAGTGTGAAAACAGTACATCATGAAAGTTTAATTTTGAAATAAAAAAGTGAATTAAAGAAATACCTTTTTAAGAACGGCCATTAATTAAGCTAATAATCAGTGAAAGCACCCATGACTTTCATAACGCATCTGCATCGGTTGGGCGTGCTTAGAATGAGGTTGTCAATATCCTGTTGAGGAATATTGGTCCCAGGTCTTACTAAGATGCATAAAAAGTTGTTCTTCTGTAACCAGATTTTCAGGAAATTCCCTCAGCGCTCTTCTTAGGAGCATATCCCAAGCATGCTCAACGGAATATAAATCTGGAGATTGAGCTGGCCGTTCTACGGCCTTGACATCATGTTCGTGCAACCAGGCTGTTATCACCCTGACCGTATATAAACGGGCATTGTCGTGCATAAGCAGGAAATTTTGACACATTTGTGTTCGATTTGGCACGACTATTGGTTCTAGCACTTCATTAAAGTATTTTTAGCAGCCGTCATAGTGCCCTATATACACACGAGGTCCGTTCTTCCACCAAAACGTTCCTGCACACATCATATTTGTTCCACATTAGTATGGATGAACTTCTTGAGGGTGCTTAACCCGGCTTGTACGACAAGGAACTCTCCAAACACGTACTCTCCTCGAATCAGGATAAAAACCAAATCGGGATTCATCGGTGAAAAACACAAACAACCATTGATGAGGTTACCAGTTCACATGTTCGCTAGTCCATTGCAGTCTTTGTTTTACTCTTCTTAGAAGTGGTTTACGAGCATTAAGGTTGGCTTCGTGCAGTCTCGTCCTCACAGTTTGGTCATTCACAAGCAACTGATGTCCAGACTGTTGCCTTTTGCATTGCCGTAACATTTGATTTCCTTCTCACAGCAATTTGCAAAAAACTTTTTTGTCTAGGTGTTGTAATGCGCCTTGGTCCTGGATGTCTCTCCGCCACCTCCGTCGTGGCAAGATAGCGTGACCACAACCTCGAAATTACATTTCGCCTGGTGGCTATTGCCGCAACGATGTCACGTTGAGAAGCACCAGCCTGCAGCATTCACACTGCTCTTAACATCTCCTCTTCGGTTAAATGTCCGAAGTTGCATTGCAATATAATGTCAAATTATTACAATCAACCCAAGCGTGAGTACAAAATTCGTTCCCTCTAATTGAACTCAACTTTTATCGCCAACACATTTAATTTTTTCTTTTATTTCAATTTGGTCAATTTGAAATAAATGACGACCAATTAGATATTAAAAACATTTTAAAATGGCCTGTACTTTTTATAGTTGGTCAATGTTATTAAAAATATCCCTATACCGTGTTGATGCATACCGGGTGTTTGTGAAACGCTCCCGAAAACGAAGACAGACGATAGTACTAACGATACCTTTGATGATGGGTCAGAAAGAAAATCGACCCCGAGGAAAAACAAATCATCATTTCGCAACGTTTTATTAGCTTTATTCACGCTCCATCATGTTGGTACAGCTAAATAAAACGATAATTTCACTAAAAAAAAAAAACATGAAAATACTTAAACATTAAACCAGCAATGGAATTTAATATGAATAAATCATGAAATCAGCACACTGGGGCCAATATTCGCGAGGACGCCGAACTCTTTTATCTAGCTTGGTACGAAACAATGCATTAAGTATTAATTACTCACTCTATCCTTCCCTTTCATTCACGCGCTGTCTCCGCCCGGCCGACTCGTGTCGCTTCGCGTCAGCGTTGCCAACATATGGAGAATTCCCTAAATTGCGGGGGATTAAGAATTGGTTGGGGGTTTTATGGAGATTGGTATTATGCGGAGAAAATGTAAGGATTTTGAAAATGGATAGCCCGGGCCAAGTCAGAACTTTTTGCAAGAAATCTAAATACTTATCTTAACATTTTTGTTAGGTTACTTATGAATATTGAACGACTCCCTTTTTTTAATTATATTCATTGCACCACATTTAAGTTTCGGATTTATTTCGGTAACTTTTGTGTATCATTTAATGCTTTGAATTTCTTAATTTTTTAATTTTAAAGCAGAGACCCGCATGCATATAAATGCAGATACTATGGTAATTTTTAAATGGCAACAAGGGAAGGAATTAAAAATACTCCATGGAGTAAATGCTTGTTATAAAAATATGGTGAGAAAAAAAATTCGGTAACAAGAAAAATAATGTTAGTTAAAAATAAATCTTATAAAATTAGTTGAAAATTGCCGCATCTCATAATAAGGCCACGGAGGATTTAGATCGGTAAGATGTTTCATACCTAATATTTTATAAATAACTTCGTGCTGAACTGATCCGAATAGGTACACACATAACTGGACACATCAGAATAATAAACATACCTAAACGATGGACAAAAAAGCATGACTCAATCGTTGTTAAAATTTCATTTTATCATTAGCGGGGAATCGAACCAGGTATTTGGTTTATTTAACCTGTGAATTCGAAATAAAGTGGCTAGGTGGAGACTAGCACAGTGGCAAAATAGTAGGTTAAGTAGATAAGATAGGTATTTATAAAGTGTTGTTAATAATTAGGTATTTGTACGATCACTAGCTTTGAGGCCGCGTGGATTAAGCGTCAATTCCGCGCGAATATTGACCCTATTGTCAGCTGCTTTCATTTTAAGTTCCACTGCTGGTTTTATGTTTAAGTAAATATTTCTTTATGAAATTATCGTTCATTTAGCTGTACTAACATGATAGAGCGTGAATAAAACTAATAAAACTTTGTGAAAAGATGAATTCTTTCCCTCGGAATCGATTTTTTTTCTGACCCATCATCAAAGGTATCATTAGTACCATCGTCTGTCTTCGTTTTCGGGAGCGTTTCACAAAAAACCTGCATAATAAGAGGTACGTATATGTAGTTTTTAAAACTTCGTACTTTTAAGTTACATTTAAAAAAAAGTTACACGGGCATAGGGCATTTATTATAGATAATACTTCGACACATAAGTTTTATGGTAAAATTGTTTGCACCTGTATAATATTTTATTTTACATAACCTTCAAAACAAAAATACAGTTACCCACTAAAGAAACTTGTAATGCGTGTTAATAAAAACGGAACATTGATTTAGCAGTCGTAATCTCATATTTTGCGCACTGTAAGTAATCACTGCTACATGAGGACAGGAACAGGTCGTGGCGCTGCGCGGCGTACTGCTGCCACACGCTCTGTCAGTGCACGTGCCCCACCTGCCAGTGCGCTGTGCTGCGGCGCGGAGGACAGGAACAGGTCGTGGCGCTGCGCGGCGTACTGCTGCCACACGCTCTGTCAGTGCACGTGCCCCACCTGCCAGTGCGCTGTGCTGCGGCGCGGAGGACAGGAACAGGTCGTGGCGCTGCGCGGCGTACTGCTGCCACACGCTCTGTCAGTGCACGTGCCCCACCTGCCAGTGCGCTGTGCTGCGGCGCGGAGGACAGGAACAGGTCGTGGCGCTGCGCGGCGTACTGCTGCCACACGCTCTGTCAGTGCACGTGCCCCACCTGCCAGTGCGCTGTGCTGCGGCGCGGAGGACAGGAACAGGTCGTGGCGCTGCGCGGCGTACTGCTGCCACACGCTCTGTCAGTGCACGTGCCCCACCTGCCAGTGCGCTGTGCTGCGGCGCGGAGGACAGGAACAGGTCGTGGCGCTGCGCGGCGTACTGCTGCCACACGCTCTGTCAGTGCACGTGCCCCACCTGCCAGTGCGCTGTGCTGCGGCGCGGAGGACAGGAACAGGTCGTGGCGCTGCGCGGCGTACTGCTGCCACACGCTCTGTCAGTGCACGTGCCCCACCTGCCAGTGCGCTGTGCTGCGGCGCGGAGGACAGGAACAGGTCGTGGCGCTGCGCGGCGTACTGCTGCCACACGCTCTGTCAGTGCACGTGCCCCACCTGCCAGTGCGCTGTGCTGCGGCGCGGAGGACAGGAACAGGTCGTGGCGCTGCGCGGCGTACTGCTGCCACACGCTCTGTCAGTGCACGTGCCCCACCTGCCAGTGCGCTGTGCTGCGGCGCGGAGGACAGGAACAGGTCGTGGCGCTGCGCGGCGTACTGCTGCCACACGCTCTGTCAGTGCACGTGCCCCACCTGCCAGTGCGCTGTGCTGCGGCGCGGAGGACAGGAACAGGTCGTGGCGCTGCGCGGCGTACTGCTGCCACACGCTCTGTCAGTGCACGTGCCCCACCTGCCAGTGCGCTGTGCTGCGGCGCGGAGGACAGGAACAGGTCGTGGCGCTGCGCGGCGTACTGCTGCCACACGCTCTGTCAGTGCACGTGCCCCACCTGCCAGTGCGCTGTGCTGCGGCGCGGAGGACAGGAACAGGTCGTGGCGCTGCGCGGCGTACTGCTGCCACACGCTCTGTCAGTGCACGTGCCCCACCTGCCAGTGTGCTGTGCTGCGGCGCGGAGGACAGGAACAGGTCGTGGCGCTGCGCGGCGTACTGCTGCCACACGCTCTGTCAGTGCACGTGCCCCACCTGCCAGTGCGCTGTGCTGCGGCGCGGAGGACAGGAACAGGTCGTGGCGCTGCGCGGCGTACTGCTGCCACACGCTCTGTCAGTGCACGTGCCCCACCTGCCAGTGCGCTGTGCTGCGGCGCGGAGGACAGGAACAGGTCGTGGCGCTGCGCGGCGTACTGCTGCCACACGCTCTGTCAGTGCACGTGCCCCACCTGCCAGTGCGCTGTGCTGCGGCGCGGAGGACAGGAACAGGTCGTGGCGCTGCGCGGCGTACTGCTGCCACACGCTCTGTCAGTGCACGTGCCCCACCTGCCAGTGCGCTGTGCTGCGGCGCGGAGGACAGGAACAGGTCGTGGCGCTGCGCGGCGTACTGCTGCCACACGCTCTGTCAGTGCACGTGCCCCACCTGCCAGTGTGCTGTGCTGCGGCGCGGAGGACAGGAACAGGTCGTGGCGCTGCGCGGCGTACTGCTGCCACACGCTCTGTCAGTGCACGTGCCCCACCTGCCAGTGCGCTGTGCTGCGGCGCGGAGGACAGGAACAGGTCGTGGCGCTGCGCGGCGTACTGCTGCCACACGCTCTGTCAGTGCACGTGCCCCACCTGCCAGTGCGCTGTGCTGCGGCGCGGAGGACAGGAACAGGTCGTGGCGCTGCGCGGCGTACTGCTGCCACACGCTCTGTCAGTGCACGTGCCCCACCTGCCAGTGCGCTGTGCTGCGGCGCGGAGGACAGGAACAGGTCGTGGCGCTGCGCGGCGTACTGCTGCCACACGCTCTGTCAGTGCACGTGCCCCACCTGCCAGTGCGCTGTGCTGCGGCGCGGAGGACAGGAACAGGTCGTGGCGCTGCGCGGCGTACTGCTGCCACACGCTCTGTCAGTGCACGTGCCCCACCTGCCAGTGCGCTGTGCTGCGGCGCGGAGGACAGGAACAGGTCGTGGCGCTGCGCGGCGTACTGCTGCCACACGCTCTGTCAGTGCACGTGCCCCACCTGCCAGTGCGCTGTGCTGCGGCGCGGAGGACAGGAACAGGTCGTGGCGCTGCGCGGCGTACTGCTGCCACACGCTCTGTCAGTGCACGTGCCCCACCTGCCAGTGTGCTGTGCTGCGGCGCGGAGGACAGGAACAGGTCGTGGCGCTGCGCGGCGTACTGCTGCCACACGCTCTGTCAGTGCACGTGCCCCACCTGCCAGTGCGCTGTGCTGCGGCGCGGAGGACAGGAACAGGTCGTGGCGCTGCGCGGCGTACTGCTGCCACACGCTCTGTCAGTGCACGTGCCCCACCTGCCAGTGCGCTGTGCTGCGGCGCGGAGGACAGGAACAGGTCGTGGCGCTGCGCGGCGTACTGCTGCCACACGCTCTGTCAGTGCACGTGCCCCACCTGCCAGTGCGCTGTGCTGCGGCGCGGAGGACAGGAACAGGTCGTGGCGCTGCGCGGCGTACTGCTGCCACACGCTCTGTCAGTGCACGTGCCCCACCTGCCAGTGCGCTGTGCTGCGGCGCGGAGGACAGGAACAGGTCGTGGCGCTGCGCGGCGTACTGCTGCCACACGCTCTGTCAGTGCACGTGCCCCACCTGCCAGTGCGCTGTGCTGCGGCGCGGAGGACAGGAACAGGTCGTGGCGCTGCGCGGCGTACTGCTGCCACACGCTCTGTCAGTGCACGTGCCCCACCTGCCAGTGTGCTGTGCTGCGGCGCGGAGGACAGGAACAGGTCGTGGCGCTGCGCGGCGTACTGCTGCCACACGCTCTGTCAGTGCACGTGCCCCACCTGCCAGTGCGCTGTGCTGCGGCGCGGAGGACAGGAACAGGTCGTGGCGCTGCGCGGCGTACTGCTGCCACACGCTCTGTCAGTGCACGTGCCCCACCTGCCAGTGCGCTGTGCTGCGGCGCGGAGGACAGGAACAGGTCGTGGCGCTGCGCGGCGTACTGCTGCCACACGCTCTGTCAGTGCACGTGCCCCACCTGCCAGTGCGCTGTGCTGCGGCGCGGAGGACAGGAACAGGTCGTGGCGCTGCGCGGCGTACTGCTGCCACACGCTCTGTCAGTGCACGTGCCCCACCTGCCAGTGCGCTGTGCTGCGGCGCGGAGGACAGGAACAGGTCGTGGCGCTGCGCGGCGTACTGCTGCCACACGCTCTGTCAGTGCACGTGCCCCACCTGCCAGTGCGCTGTGCTGCGGCGCGGAGGACAGGAACAGGTCGTGGCGCTGCGCGGCGTACTGCTGCCACACGCTCTGTCAGTGCACGTGCCCCACCTGCCAGTGCGCTGTGCTGCGGCGCGGAGGACAGGAACAGGTCGTGGCGCTGCGCGGCGTACTGCTGCCACACGCTCTGTCAGTGCACGTGCCCCACCTGCCAGTGCGCTGTGCTGCGGCGCGGAGGACAGGAACAGGTCGTGGCGCTGCGCGGCGTACTGCTGCCACACGCTCTGTCAGTGCACGTGCCCCACCTGCCAGTGCGCTGTGCTGCGGCGCGGAGGACAGGAACAGGTCGTGGCGCTGCGCGGCGTACTGCTGCCACACGCTCTGTCAGTGCACGTGCCCCACCTGCCAGTGCGCTGTGCTGCGGCGCGGAGGACAGGAACAGGTCGTGGCGCTGCGCGGCGTACTGCTGCCACACGCTCTGTCAGTGCACGTGCCCCACCTGCCAGTGCGCTGTGCTGCGGCGCGGAGGACAGGAACAGGTCGTGGCGCTGCGCGGCGTACTGCTGCCACACGCTCTGTCAGTGCACGTGCCCCACCTGCCAGTGCGCTGTGCTGCGGCGCGGAGGACAGGAACAGGTCGTGGCGCTGCGCGGCGTACTGCTGCCACACGCTCTGTCAGTGCACGTGCCCCACCTGCCAGTGCGCTGTGCTGCGGCGCGGAGGACAGGAACAGGTCGTGGCGCTGCGCGGCGTACTGCTGCCACACGCGGCTGCGGCCCAGCAGCGCGCGCACGCGCTCGCCGTGCGCAGCGGACCGCGACATGCCCTTCAGCGCGTTCACCAGCTGCGCCGTCACCTGCCCCTCCAGCCGCGTCTCCAACAAACCAAGCAATTCGCCGATGAGATCGCTTTCTAAAGCCTGAAACGCCATTTTAAACCGCTATTGTTAGAATGAAAAACATTGTGGAACAAATATTTACGTAAAACAGCATTCAGTATAAAATATATAAAAATACCATATTATACGATCCAAAATACATTACCACAAAAATTCTATATCATACTATTATAAATATAAAAATTCAAATTGGTTAAGATTCACAAAATTTTAAAAACCTGGCCACATCGTCTGTTTAGGCCCAAAAATGGTTATCTGAAATTGAAATAAAGTTGATAACCTGAAATAGTGACATGAAGAAAGAAGTGGTCACTTGGTGACGCCTAGAGTGATGAAGCATCGGGGGGCAGCATGGGACCAGGCCGCTGCCCGGTCACCTCAGCTGGGCCAGGTCACATAAATAAACACTACCACTAAACACCACTTACATTCACTACACCTACCTACGACCTGACCGAGCCTTGGGGCGGTCTTAGCTTCGGATTCAGGTACGTACGTACTATTTATTTACCTAGCCTTCTCCCTATTGTGTAGTATGATAGGTCATTTGTCCATAGGCCATTTGGGCCCCGTCCTTAGTTATCCGTCCAGTCTACAGCTGTATGGGCCCTGTATAGTCGACCTTTGTCGGGACAGCTAAGGGCGTGTACATCGTCGTTGATGAGACAGTCTCTGTGGGTATGGAGGTATTGTTGCCCGATGGGCACAACGTGCCACAAATAGTTTCCAGATTTCATTGCATAATAGTATTTTATTGAGATGCAATTTCTTTATGGCATGAATAAAATTGACTGAATAGGATTCTATGTACAGAATCATAATTATCGGTTCGGACAGGGTTTATTAACCCTGTACGATCCGTGAGGGTGATTGTGCAATGATACTGGTACGTAGGATTCAATGTAATCAATTGCAGTTTAATCTTTTTCTGCCGACTTCCAAAAAGGAGCCGGTACTCAATTCGACTGTATGTTTTTTTTTTTTCGTTTTTTTTTTTATGTGTGTTACCTCAGAACTTTTTTCTGGGTGAACCGATTTCGATGATTCTTTTTTTATTTGAAAGCTGGTACTTCTCGTGTGGTCCCATATGAATTTGATCAAGGTCAGACCAATAGTTTTTAAGTTATTCTTAAATAACTTATATTGAAGTCGGCTGTACAAAATTTTTAATTTTAAATTAATTTTGGATTATTTAATAAAGCTGAAAAAGAATATATCCCGCAAAACAACTTTCTCGCATTTGTCACACTTCCATGTTAAAAGTAATAAATTATGTTTTCGTTAATCTACCTGTAAAACTAATTTATCAGTGTTCGCATTGCTGTTATCGAAAATAGTAGCGAGCGCCTCGCACGCACTGCCTGTGATTTCTTGACACGTTTTCACCGCTGTCTTCAGCCCCGACATAACTTCTGTTTGTGTTAAGGCCGCAACGCAAGTCTAAAACAATACGTGTATAATTTTTAAGGTTATTATATCTATATCTGGCACTATTTCTATATACAAAATTAAGAACTTTTTGTCCCGTATGTGTTCTTAAACTATATGAGCGATTACGATATAATTTCGTGGGTTGTTCTGTGCCTTCCCGCGATGGGTTTTGACAAAAATTAATATTAGTTTGTTTATTCAATTTCTAGGCGTTATTACCATTCATCTGAGAATTGTAACAAATTTGATGAGTTATTTTGCGCACGCCCGTGAATCATCATTATCATTATCATTAAAACCCTCCACAAGTCCACTGCTGAACATAGGTCTCCCCCAAGGAATGCCACAAAGCACGGTCCTGAGCCACCTGCATCCATCGACTTCCTGCATATCTTACCAGGTCGTCACTCCATCTAGTAAGGGGGACGCCCTACACTTCGTCCGCCGGTACGACGCCGCCACTCGAGAACCTTTTTTCCCCATCGGCTGTCGGTTCTTCGAGCTATATGGCCGGCCTTTGCCACTTCAGCTTACTAATCCGTTGGGCTATGTCGGTCACTCTGGTTCTACTGCGGATATCCTCATTTCTAAGTTTATCACGCAGAGAAACTCCAAGCATAGCCCTCTCCATAGCTCGCTGAGCGATCTTGAGCTTCCTCATCCGGCCAGCAGTGAAGGACAACGTCTCAGTACCATAGGTCATCACTGGCAACACACACTGGTTGTACAGTCTCGTTTTCAAGTTTTGACATATACCTGACGAGAAGATGTGCCGTAATTTCCCGAACGCTGCCCAACCGAGTTGAATCCGTCGATTGACCTCTCGGTCGAAGTTGGACTTACCTAGTCGGACAATTTGTTCCAGGTAAACATACTCGTCAAAAACTTAGTGCTCCCAACAACTACCGGCATAGGTGTGACATACACATTAACATGATCTTTGTTTTGCACATGTTCATCTTAAGACCTATCCGTTGGGAAACACTATTGAGGTTATTGAGCATAGTGCTTAGGTCCTCCAGCGATTCTGCCATAAGGACTATATCGTCGGCAAATCGAAGGTGAGTGATGTAATCGCCATTGATGTTAATACCGTATCCTTTCCAGTCCAGAAGCTTGAAAACGTCTTCCAATGCAGCGGTGAAGAGTTTCGGGGATATAACGTCACCCTGTCTTACACCTCTCTGCAATTGGATAGGTTTCGTACTCTGGTTCTTTACTTGAAAAGCCATCGAAGCTCTACTGTACAAGCACTTCAGCACTTCGATATACCGACAGTCAACTTGGCATCGCTAAAGGGACTGCAGCACCGCCCAAATTTCAACGTAATCAAAGGCTTTCTCATCGTCCACATACGCTAGACATAGAGTAGCAAATTGTACTCCTCGGACTTCTGTACAATTTGCCGAAGGGTATGTATGTGGCCTATGGTGCTAAAGCCTTTTCGGAAACCGGCTTGTTAGGGAGGCTGGAAGTCGTCAAGTCTGCGCGCGTGACGATTCGTAATGACTCTCGAAAACAGCACGTAGACGCGGCTCAGAAGGGAAAGGTCCACTTCCTGTGGGGCCGCTTCTGGAAGAAAGAGTTCATCATAAAGAGTCCCTCTTTTTCCATGAAGTCGGCCAGCTGCTGGCCCCTTGGGTTCCGTTGCCCTATTCCGAAATTCCCTACTTTCAGCTCACCGTTCTCTCTTGTGCCTAGTTTTGCGTTGAAGTCTCCCATTAATACCGTATAGTGGGTTTTGGAGGAATGCATGGCTCTAGAGATATCCTCATACATTTCCTCCACCTCCTCATTGGGGTGTGCAGAGGTTGGTGTGTAAACCTGTATGACCTTCAGCGAATACCGTTTGGTGATTCTGAGTATAAGGTACGCAACCCTCGTCGACACACTCCCAATCTTTACAACGTTGTTAACGAGAAACTTGTAGACGATAAATCCGACACCTCCTTGGGACAGATGGTCGCCCTCCCTGTGATAGAGCAAGTTGCCGGATTCGAGGATTACTGTGTCCTCCCCCTCTCTTTGGACCTCGGATAATCCTATAATATACCAGCGTAACTTGTCTATCTCTTCTTCCAGCTCCACGGTCTTCTCGTCAGTCCTCAGGGTGCGTGCGTTGTATGTTGCCAGGTCGAGTCGTCTTAGGTGGCAACCGAACCTCCACCGTAGATTCTTAGCACCCCCTGCCCTGCCGTTACCATGGTCGTCTGGGGGCCATCTCTTCGTTACTTTCATGGGGGGTATATTGCCATAGTTGCCACGCTTGGCGAACGGGTTGGCAACGCAGTTTTTTTATTGTTGTTTTGCTGTTATCAGAAAGATGCTGCTGCCGATCCTCTGCCTCAATTGCCCTCTGTCGCCTTTTACGACACCCACGGGAAGATATGGGGTAGTGAGTTTTCTTATCCGCCACTACACGGGGAATGCTTCTGCCAAATAATTTAATTTGATAAAATAATGAAATAAAATATTAAGCACGGGGTAGGTAAAAACAGTCTTATTTCTGTTATATTTTCCTTTATAAATCAGACAACATCTTGTTTACGTTGTAGTAAAAAATATATTAAAGTCATTAATTTTAATAATGTTTAATATTACACTACTTATGATAATGATTCTATACGTAAACAAATTTTTCAAGCCGTTTTCATGTCAACACATTGTGTGACTTGTTTCGAAATCTTATCTCCAAAACTTAATGCCAAACATGATTTGTTTTATCAAATGTCACATATTTCACTTCAACATATTGTTTGACAGTGTAAACGCAACATGATTCACTGTCAATAATTTAAATTTTGAAAATGTTTTGTGTTTGTGTTTTGCAGAAGTAATAGATCACACCCACGAAAACAAAGTTATTCAGGTTTGTAACATAAATACAATTTCTTGTGGTGTAAATTAATTGAAAAAGAGCCTATGGCTCATTATTTAAGTAAGTTTATTTATTTTTAAACTTTTATGCACAAAATATAATATATATGGCGGACTTAATATCTAAAAGAATTCTCTCCTAGTTAACCATGGGGCTAACCAGGGATAAACATATACTAGGGGTGATCCAAAAGTAACGATAATGAATATTAAACACACTGATGCGGCAGCTCGCCCAGCTGCGCACACGCCAGCACAGCTAACGTGCATGTGTGTGCGTGTGCGTGTGCGTGCGTGTGTACGTACGTGCGAGTGCGCGAGCGCGGCCAGCAGCGGCACGGCGGCGCGCGGGCGCGCGGGCAGCAGGCGCGCAAGGCGCGGCAGCTCGCCCAGCTGCGCGCACGTGTGTGCGTGTGCGTGCGTGTGTACGTACGTGCGAGTGCGCGAGCGCGGCCAGCAGCGGCACGGCGGCGCGCGGGCGCGCGGGCAGCAGGCGCGCAAGGCGCGGCAGCTCGCCCAGCTGCGCGCACGTGTGTGCGTGTGCGTGCGTGTGTACGTACGTGCGAGTGCGCGAGCGCGGCCAGCAGCGGCACGGCGGCGCGCGGGCGCGCGGGCAGCAGGCGCGCAAGGCGCGGCAGCTCGCCCAGCTGCGCGCACGCCTCACACAGCGCTGGCCGCGCACGCACCAGCGCCGCCAGCGCGCGCGCGCATGTTTCCCCACGTCCGCCCCGCACCTGCACACACACACCCACACTTATAACCACCAACCAACAAAGAACACAGGAAACACGGAACGCTGCGTACATTTCAATGAGGGCATTCCACAAGGCAGCGCCATTTGGGAACGAGGTGAAATATGTAACATATTTAATAGAAGATAAGTTAAATTATTAGGAAACTATAAAGGTTAATATTTTTTCCAAAATTTTAGATATATTTTATACACTAAACCTTTTGTCCTATTTATCTATTAAATTTAAAATGTGTGGGAAATGCATTATTTTAACTAATTGTCATTCATAAATATGTAACGTCTACTATTTTCTACGAACCCGTACATTCGTAAGGGAGTGTTGAATTCGGAAGCAGTCGAAGGCAACCGGCGCTCGCGCTCAGGTACAGAGATTTAGGCATTTATTAATTGTGTTGACTCGGTAAAGACAAACGCGTCTTCTTGCCCTTTTCCTTCCGTTAGCCATTAAACCGCTAGGTACTAGTCCAAGAGGCAGAGATAGTGTGGTTCTACTGCGGATATCCTCATTTCTAAGTTTATCATGCATAGAAACTCCGAGCATAATCCTCTCCATAGCTCGCTGAGCAACCTTGAGCTTCCTCATACGGCCAGCAGTGAAGGACCACGTCTCAGTTACATCACTGGCAACACGCACTGGTTGTACAGTCTCGTTTTCAAGTTTTGAGGTATACCTAACGAGAAGATGTGTCGTAATTTCCCGAACACTGCCCAACCGAGTTGAATCCGTCGATTGACCTCTCGGTCGAAGTTGGACTTACCTAGTCGGTCTATTTGTCCCAGGTAAACATACTGTCAACAACTTCGAGCTTAGTGCTCCCAATAACTACCGGCATAGGTGTGACATGGACATTAAACATGATCTTTGTTTTGCCCATGTTCCTCATAAGACCTATACGTTGGGAAACACTATTGAGTTCATTGAGCATAGTGCTTAGGTCCTCCAGCGATTCTGCCATAAGGACTATATCGTCGGCAAATCGAACGTGAGTGATGTACTCGCCATTGATGTTAATACCGTATCCTTTCCAGTCCAGAAGCTTGAAAACGTCTTCCAATGCAGCGGTGAAGAGTTTCGGGGATATAACCCTGACTTACACCTCTCTGCAATTGAATATTTTTCGTACTCTGGTTCTGTACTCGGATTGCCAACGTAGCCCTACTGTACAAGCACTTCAGCACTTCGGTATACCGACAGTCAACTTGGCACCTCTGAAGGGACTGCAGCACCGCCCAAATTTCGACGGAATCAAAGGCCTTCTCATAGTCCACATACGCCAGATATAGTGGAAAATTGTACTCCTCGGACTTCTGTACAATTTGCCGAAGGGTATGTATGTGGTCTATGGTGCTAAAGCCTTTTCGGAAACCGGCTAGTTCGGGAGGCTGGAAGTCGTCAAGTCTGCGCGCGAGACGATTCCTAATGACTCTCGAAAACAGCACGTAGACGCGGCTCAGAAGGGAAATCGGTCTGTAGTTCTACAAGAGAGCGTTGTCACCTTTCTTGAAGAACAAGACCACCATACTTCTGCTCCACGCCTCCGGTGTAATGCCACCATTGAGGACGGAATTAAAGAGCTTCTGAAGGACTTCAAGTATCGGTTTTCCACACGCTTTCAGAAGATCCGCTGTAATTCCATCCTCGCCTGGGGCCTTGCCGTTTTTAAGGTGCTGTAGAGCCATTCTAATCTCACTCAGACTGACGCCAGAGATATTATCAGAATAGTGTCGGATAAGACACGCTCTTGGATCGTTACTCACACTTACGTGTGGCTCCAACGATGATGTGTACAGCTGCCCATAGAACCTCTCAATCTCACTCTAAATCTCAGGTGTCCCGGAAACGACACTGCCACACTCGGTCTTCAGCTTCGACAGTTGGTTCTTACTGGCAGACAGATCTCTAGCAAAGACTTTGGAGCCCTGTTTCCGCTCAATCGCTTCTTCAATATGAGCAGTATTAAAGTTGCGTAAGTACCGCCGCAAGAATTTGGAGATCTGTCTGTTCAGTTGCCTGTATGCTGTCAAATCTACTGAAGACTGCAGCTTCATATCCCGTCTAACAGCCATGAGATTAAGAGTGTGATCGGAGAGATTTTGTTTTTTTTTTTTTTTTCTTCTGCGTCGGGTCTTGCAAAACTTAGCTCCGACTTAGCTTAGACTTCTAGGCACTGAAAACGATTTCGTAGCTCGAGCTGAAAAGTTTCGGGACTTTGGATTAGAGCACGAGGGGGACGGAGCGTTGACTTCATTAGACGTGACCTCTCCAACTTAAAGTTTAGGTTCAGTGTGCCTCGCACCATTCGGTGATCGCTGCCGGTTTTCACCTTCGCGATCACTGAGACATCACTGAACAGTTGTCGTCTGGTCGTCATAATGAAGTCAATCTCATTTTTTGTCGAACCGTCGGGGCTTGACCAGGTCCACTTCCTGTGGGGCCGCTTCTGGAAGAAAGAATTCATGATAAAGAGTCCCTCTTTCTCCATGAAGTCAGCCAGCTGCTGGCCCCTTCGTTTCCGTTGCCCTATTCCGAATAAACAATTGACTTACCAGCTGTGTCCCCATAGGACTTTGACTGACTATCATAATTTTAATTTACATATAAAAAACAAATGTTCATAAAGTTTCACCCTTAAGAAATTGATTTAATTATGTCGGTGGTCACGACATATTTGATCGCGCACCTGAGACACCTGTTCTAATATCCGCTTGACTGACCGAAGCTTTTTATTGTAAATTATGATTATAATCACCTGAGAAAAAACCAGGCTTAATAAATACAGACTTTTTTTGGCTCTGCCTCTCCGTCTATACGTTCGCCCGGACGGCCGACAGTGTTGACTTGACCGTAACTTCATTACGTAAGAGTGCGTTATTTTTAAATTTTCGTAGGTAGTGTTACTTGTTACTTCATTAACAATGACGCAACCAATAAAATCGAACCGCGAATACTATGAAATGGTACGGCGTTACATTTTAAACAATGAAAGTTTACGTGGTGCGCAAAGATTATACGAAAGTGAGTTTTACAAAGACAAGAAATTAACGCGCATGTAATCGGAACACTATTTTTGCAGCTAACTAAAGACAGTTAGACTTTGGACATTTCACCACTCCGTCACATGGAAGTGCTCGAGGTGGTCATTCAATAATAAGCCCGGCAGTCATCATATTGGCAATCAGTCATAATTAGCGTCGCGTAGTTATCAACTTAGTAGTGAGCGTGTCATTAAGAAAGTAAATAGTAGGCAAAAGCTCCGTGCAGATGCGAATGATCTGAGTATATTTGGCGTAAGCGATTGACCCTAACGAGATGTCTGCATATTTGTGTCATTTGCTTTAGAGACTATCGTCCCCGGGGTCCCACGTTCGAGTAAGTTCCTAAAAATGACTGTATGACTGCATACTGACCGCAACTTGTCGTCGCTACCAGTAGGATAAGAGGCCTGACTAGTTCTTTTCTTGCTCAATAGTTAAGTATAGCGAATCAGCCACTACCACGAGACATTCGGGACTATATCATGAGGAGTAATAGTGTTTTATAATTCAAGATTTGTTTTTAAGATTTATCTTTTTTATTATGAAACTTAAATATCGACAAAAGATTTTTAGTTATTTAAATAAATGGACTATTGTAGTTAGCTAAAACCCTACTCAACTTATTCGTAAGAATACGCACTCAAGCACAATTATGCATGTAAAATAATTTGCAAACGACGTTTTTTTAGACGCATACGTGTGCATCCAGCAATCGACTTTTGGTAAAATTCACAAATAAAAGAAATAGGAAATATGTGCGTATAAAGTAAGTGCATATAAAGAAGTTGAATCTGGGTACGGCGTTACTTGAATTGTAATTGAACAAGCTTTAAGTGTTAAATAATGAAACAATTCTTTTCAAATAACGAATTCTCATTCTATACATTATCTTACATCTGAAGAATCCTTATTGAGCGAAGTGAGCGTCTCAGTGAGCAGCTCTTGCAGGAACTTCTTAGGGCTCCGCAGGCTCCAGTTCGGGTTCTGTAGGAACAGCTTGAGGTACACGCCACCCACCACTACCTCGCCCGGCGGTGCCCACACTTCCTCTCCGTTTGCCACCCGTTCTAAAGTCTCCCGATCCTCGAACAACACATTGGGATCCCGCAACTGGTTGGCTAGGTGCCTGGTTGGGATAAATAAGAAGTTTAAACTAAATTATCGAAAACTCTAGACGATATTGAATCCTTTGGTAAATTTTTAGCGTATTAATGTTGGTAAAAATTACTTTGCCTACATCTCTCACAAGGTAATTTTTACCAAAAAGTTTCTTTGTATTTTATTTGTATGAAATTGAAGAAAAATCTCTTTGTTTGTACTGTTTGTATCTGGCTGGTTTTAATATCAATAGATATAGGACTTTAAGAAAAAGAAAAATAAAAAGTAAAAGACTTTCCCGTCATTTTTCAATTGTGTTTTCTGTCCGCCAAAACGAGTGAATCTAACGAAGAAATTCGATACATTCTGAAGTTTTTTACACAAGTGGTAAATTTAAAATTTGTACAAACGAATTCAATATAAATATAACTTATTGTTGATTTTTTAAAAACCCCTCAAACGATTTCGATAAAATTTTAATGAGACTACCTGGTAAGTATACCCTTTGAAACAAAAAAAGGACTTTCCAAATCGGTTTAGGCGTCTGAGTAATTAGTGAACATACATAAAAAAAAGATTCCGAATAATTGAGAACCTCCTCCTTTTTTGAAGGCGTTTGAAAAAATGAGAAAAATGCCACTGAAGCCGCGACAAATTTTGTGACGTTTATGGACCGAATGTAGTATCAGTAAGAGTTCAAGCGTTTTCAGTCCGGTAATTTTGATGTCAAAGATGCAGCTTGCTCTGGTCACCCTTATACAGATAAAGTCAATGCCATTTTTCGATAAAGTGGAGCATGATCCGCATATTACATAGAATAGTTACAACATAGCAGAGGAATTGAGGATTGACCACAAAACAGTTTTGAGCCATTTGAAAAAGTCTGGCTATAGAAAAAAGCTCGATATTTGGGTACCACACGAGTTCACTGAAAGAAACCTAATGTATCGTGTACTCATTTGCGATTCCCTGTTGAAACGTAATGAAACATTTTTGAAAAGATTAATCACTGATGATGAAAAGTGGGTCACCTGTAACGACAACGTGCGAAAAAGATCATGGTCAAAGGGCAAAAGCAAAAAGCTCTAGAGACTGTAGCGAAACCCAGGTGACAACGCAATAAGGTGATGCTTTGTGTATGGAGGGATTGGAAGGGTGCCGTTTATTATGAGATTTTACCGCCGGGTAAAACCATCGATTCGGATCTCTACTGCAAACAACTAATGAGACTCAAGTAAGATATTGAGAAAAAACTGCCGGAATTGATCAACAGAAAAGGAGTGGTCTTTCATCATGATAACGCCAGACTATACACATCTTTGGCCACTCAGCTAAAATTGAGAGAACTTTGTTGGGAAGTCTTAATGCATCCACCATATAGGGTCATGCGAGGCTATTCCTTCGGCGGGGTTATTCCGTCGCTTGGCTGTAACTTTTATAAATAAATGAATTTATCAATAGCGGCATTTAAGCGGATAGCGAAAACTCTTTTTCGTAGATCGACATTTAGATGGCACTGCTAACGCGTTAACTGTTTGATCGACGGCCTTGTTTGTTTGCGGACGCCATTTTTACCCGCGACGGAACGCAGAAGGTGTATGCGTTTAGGGTGAGAGGTTGTTTGTTTGCCATTCCCTGCCCTGAAATGAACTAAAATTTTACATTTTTATGAGTTTGTGACTAACTGAAATGACGGCGAGTATGTAAATAAATGTAGTCTTTAATTGATATACATAGCTGCATTTCTTAGCTTTTCTTCTAAATTGAAATAGGAATTAAGATGGCAATGGCAGCCCCGACGGATTTTTTGGATTTATAAGTATATTACCGCCGGCAGCGTATTCGCGTTGAAGATAAATTTTCATCTTGGTGTGAACTACCAGCTGGAGTGCCTCAAGGTGGTGTGTTGTCTCCTTTACTCTTTGCTATCTTCATTAATTCGATCTGTCACAAAATTTCTTCTCTCTATCACATGTATGCAGACGATCTTCAAGTGTATACGCAGTCAACTCTTGAGAACCTGCCTACCGCTGTTTCTGCCATCAATGCTGACCTGGCGGCTATTAGCGAATGGAGTAAATACTATGGGCTTAAGGTTAATCCTTGTAAGTCGCAGGCCATTATTGTTGGTGGTGCTGGGATGATTTCAAGAGTTGACTGGAATAACTTTCCCTCGGTGGTATTGAATGGTGTTGTAATACCTTACAGTAGCACCGTTAAAAATCTTGGTATCCACTTCGATACTACTTTCTCGTGGTCTCATCAATTGAAAGAAGTTAGCAGAAAGACTTTTGCTGCTATGGGTTTATTGCGGCGTTTACGTTCTTTCCTTCCCATTCCTACTAAAATTATGTTAGCACAATCTTTACTCCTCTCTATTCTCGATTATGCGGGCGCAAGCTATCTTGATGTAACTGAAGATCAACTAAACAAACTTGAGCGTATTCAAAATCTGGCTATTAGGTTCATATTTGGCTTGCGCAAATATGACCATGTCTCCGAATTCCGTTTAAAGCTCAAGTGGTTACCCATTCGCCTTCGCCGGAACCTACAAATTGTTTCTCTTCTGTACTGTGTATTATTCGATCCAATGACTCCTAGCTATCTAAAGGAAAACTTTAAGTTTCTTGGTCATGACAGACCGGACAGAGTTCTACGGTCAGCCGGAGAACTTATACTCGCACCACATTCATATCGAACTAAATACTTTAAAAACTCCTTCACAGTTAAGGCCATCTGCTTATGGAATGATCTTCCTTCGCAAATTCGTCGTGCGAAAACACTAGAAAAGTTTAAGACTGACGTCAAAAATTACTACCTAACAGTGCATTAACTACTGGTCATCATTTGCGACATGTATTTTTTGTATCCTCTCTGTATTTTTTTATTTAATTTTTATGTATATTTGCCTACTTAATCTTATGTATGTCTATTATATTTTGAATGTATATATTAGTGTATTATTTTTTTCATTATGTATCAGTTTAGTTTATTTAGGTATTAGTATGTAAGTTTACTATAATATACACCACCTCCCACTGTCCAATAGAACAACTTTCTCCTAATCTTAAGGTTGTCTGGAAGAGATCGCTTATTAGCGATAAGACCGCCTTATTGTACCTACCTCTTAAGTTTTACTCCTTGTAATTTGTTCTTTTTTATCGTTTTTTTTTTGTGGTGTACAATAAAGTATAAATAATAATAATAAATAATAATTACCTAATAAGTAGGTGAATAGATGTAGTACCTATATTTTATAATATTATTGCTGTGTCTGTCGCTACAACAAACTAATAGGTACACAAAGATAGGAAGGACTAAGGAAAGACATTGTTACGGCCAACAGCTGCCCTGCCTAAACAGGAGTTGGATCCTTCGCGGCCCATAGACGAAGGAGCCACGGGCAGATGCAGGTCGGGCGTTCCTACGCCGAGGGTCAAAGGTTTCTAATGAACACGCGAGGGGAAAGGTCACTAGAAGAAATGCACTTACCTGCCTCAGGAGCGCAGACGGTTCTCCTAGACCGGCCCGGCTGATGGAAGTTGTGCTTGGTGTATGCGGTGTTGTGAGTGTAGGTGTAATTGTGTGAGCTGGTATGTTGACGGGAACCGATCTGGATGACTCGACGACGTCCGGGAGAAGGCACGCGCTGGTATCCCCGGAACTTCACCCTTCTGGAGGCACTCGTAAGGGGTTGTCACCAAATGGGACGGCTTCTCTGGTAGTCCTTCAGATGTAAATCACTTTGATAGTTGCGCGCGAATTTCACCGAGTTAGTACGTTCTAATAACGATACCGTTATTGCAACGATTTACGCGGATTGTTTCTTTAGCAAGTTTAGGCGCGAAAAAATACGTCCGTATAGTTCGCAAGAAAAATCCTACTACCTCGCGAGAAGAGCCACACCGACTCGTTGCGGCGGCCGGGGGGGCGGGGGAGAGGGAAGGTGCCCTTGATATCGAGGCCAAAAGCGCGCGTTAAATCCTGCGTTTTTATTGCAAATTTTCCTGCCTAGACAACCCCCCGCCCCGGACATAAGGCATTAAGTCCGCGAGTAGATTGGCAAACGGGACAAGGTCGCGACGGCCCGTTGCAAGACCGAATCTCCGACCAAAACCTCGGCCACTCTAGGCACCCCATCCGTTCCATACGACAATTTAACAATGCGCCCACGGCGCCAATACAAAGGTAGCGCGTTTGGTTCTTTAATCAACACGAGGTCTCCCACCCGAGGAGGCTCCGTCTTGTCAGACCACTTAATGCGCTGCTGCAAAAGATGTAGGTACTCCAGAGACCATCGGTGCCAAAAGCGTTGAGTCATCTGTTGCAGCAGGGCAAACCTGCTAAGCCGTGAAGCACTCGTTTCCCTGAAGGGATACTCGGGCAGAGCGTTAAGAGGCTGGCCAATCAGGAAGTGTCCCGGGGTTAGAACCTCCAAATCATTCGGGTCAGAGGAGAGGGGACAGAGGGGCCGAGAGTTGAGTACCGCCTCAATTTTACAGAATACAGTGGCGAGCTCCTCAAACGTCAAAATGGCTTCACCAATAACGCGACGGAGATGCGTTTTGGCAACCTTAACCACCGCCTCGAAAATACCGCCCCAGTGGGGACACGCCGGAGGGTCGAATTTCCACTGGATGCCCCTTTTCGACATAGCATTTCCTAAATAAGTCCGGTGGCTGGACAGAAATTCGACAACCTCCTTGAGATACCTATCCGTGCCCTTATAATTCGTCCCGCAGTCAGACCGGATCAAGTCCGGCAAGCCGCGCCGCGACACGAAACGGCCAAGCGTGGCCAAGAAGGCTTCCGTGCTGAGGGCGCTCACCAGTTCCAAGTGAACGGCTTTAGTGGAGAGGCACACGAAGACGCAAAGATAGGCCTTACATGAACGCGCGTTACGAAGGTTAGAGGACTTGACGAGGAAGGGGCCAGCGAAGTCTGTTCCGACCCCAGCGAATGGTCGGATGGCCCTGACGCGGTCGGGCGGCAAGTCACCCATAAGAGGCTGCGATATGGGGGCCTTCA